TAACATAGATCAGAAAATACTGTAATATGGACCCTTTAAGTAATATCATAATATAGTCATAATTCGGGATGTAACAATAACCAAAATGTCATGATATTATATTGTCAAAGTTCTCACAATAATATCATGGACCATCACAATATATCGAATTACAAGTCTCTTTGCTTAAATTAAGAGTTATGGTGCAGCAATAGCCAAAAAAGATAGAGGGAAATACATAGACCATGATCCTTTGTTCCATTTCAGTGTAGACTATAGTAGATAATAGAAATAACAGTTCTAAGCACTTTTGAGTCATAGTTTCTTGAATTAAGTCTTGTCAAGGCATTTTAAGAGGAAAAAGTATCATATTAAGTTTGGTTAGCTCCACAAAATATCTCAATAAATATCGTACGGTGAAATGTATATTGTGAAAATATCGTACTGAGAGATTTGCATATTGTTACATCCCTAATCGTGAGCCTTCCCACCATATCGTGAGCTTTCCCACGATGTCACTATAAATATCATTGAGGTTCATACCGTGACAATATCGTATCATGAGACATGGATATCGTTTCACCCCTAGTCATAATATATAGACTAGGCAATGCTTGAGCCCAAAACCCGCCATAATGATTTAACACATATTTCTTTATTTTCCACTTGCAGGAATAAAGACAAGCAAATGTGTCTGGCTCCTCCACACTACAGTGGGTCTATGCATTGTAAAGAGCTTCTCCTCGGCATGCTGTGACCTTCCTGTTTGAATTGAGAACGCAGATAGCAGCCTGCCATACATCACTGTCAGCACACAGACTGCTCCAGCCACATCCAGGTAATCTATTTGTGCCGCGAAAATATGGTGTAATTTGCTCATCTTTCTTGCAAGCGCAGCAAAAAGAGACAATTTGAACCAACCACATGCTTATTCCACAGTAGGCTTCCTCAAAGTATCTGCACTGACAATATATTCTCCTATGCATCGGTAAATTCAAGTCTCTTCCAGTATATTTTATGCTCCGTGCAACGCCACAGCACTGGAAAAGGCTATAGACTTAATGTCAGAATCTGAATTTCTCGTGGTTGTTTCACACATTTAAAGATGTATTGTGCAACTTTTCTGGTGTCACCGGCTTGTTTCTGTGGATACATCATTGCACTGCTTGACATCAAACAGCTCTACTTTACATTTATTCAATTACAGGTCGTTTTATAGCTCAAAAATACCAAGAAAAACAGACAATCTGACTGAGCGAGGTTGCTTCTCCACAGATCTGACTTGTAACTTGGTCTGGTTTGGTCTTCATGAAGAGAGAAACGTTTAAAACCATACTGTGAAACATTCCAGACAAAGCAATAATATCTCCATGAATAAAAGCATTTAATACACGCTCCACCAGAAAAGTTACACTGCACATTTAATGGAACAAATGAAGTCAGCCACCCATGTATTTCTGCATTTCCACATCACTTAACTAAGGATTTTATTCACTCCTGTCATCATTATATAAGCTTATATAACCGTAATGTATCGTTTGTATACAGTAATTGTAATTTCTAATATTAGTGTGACTTACTGGTATGTTGACATCCAAAACATGTGCTATATTTGGAGACATTTTAATCAATCAAAATTAAATGGGAGTGGATTTAATTTACAGTTGTTCTAGGTCAAGAGTGCATTAGAAGAAAACACTACCCTTATATAACAGCCTCCCTAAGCCATACAAATACTCAGCATTTCTCCAGCTTAATAGCTTAAAATGAGACGCAAGGGAATGCAGAATTGCTTAAAATAAAAAGTTTTAGGGTCACTCACAGATTAAAGAATTCATTGGACTTCATAAGATAACTTAAAGGATCTGTATTATACTATTTTCTGAACAATGTTATAATGTTGTTTCCTCATCACAAACAGAAATGTAGTTGTGTTTTTTTTCATTCACACATGTTTAACACACACATCCTGCATATTTAGGCTGGGTTCTTCTCTCAAACTGAAAACATTTTGTTCCACCTTGTGATGTCATGTGGTAATACAGGAAGTGCTTCACTGTGTTTTTAAACTTCATACACCTTCACAGAATCATCTGGATAATTTTAGCCCTGAAATTGTCAATCTCTACTGAACTAGTGGTACTAAAATGTAGCTATTAACTTGAAAACTACCACTAAATGACATCACAAAATGGAACAGAGCATTTGAGTTTTGGAGATGTAATGAGACTAATAAAGGGTAACTCAAACGTGCAAATGAAACAACACAGGTATGTTTTTGGTGAAGTATCAACATTCTAACATGACTTAAAGCTTACAAGAGTCAGTTTTGTTTATGACATTTTTTGTTTTCACATTATAAAAGTGAAAAAATGCACAACACGCTCAGATGGTCGATGTCCAAAAGCTTTTTTATTTTTAAATAACGTACACACACAGTACTGTTGTCCAAAACAAGAAAAATATCTTTTCTGTTTCTTTTGGAGGACCTTTATCATTATCATAACTTCAGGAGTATGGACATCACTATAACCCAGCTCTAGAGTAGACCACTGTCCATTCTCCACTGCAGCATCTTTGTATAGGTTTAAAAACAGCCAAATCAATCATTGTCAATTAGAGCTACGTTCAAAGCAAACCACATCCTGAGAGAGTCTGGCCCTCTTCATGCACTTAACAGCGGGCCGAGCTATTATAGTGCAAACAGTGTAAAGTGCCCAGGGTCTGAGCGGAGGAGAGGAGAGCACTTCCTCTTATCCTCCACTCTCTCATACATGTTCTCCAGAGCCCAGACATCCACTGAGTTCAAACACCACTTTTATGTCCAACTTAAAAACACTATTCTACATAAGAGCACTGTCTACCTGGCTTCCTTTGTTGTCCACAGGCATCTACCCCCTCGGCTGTGCCTTATGGCTGCGCTTATTGATTTCTGAAGGGGAGACTGAACAGGCACTTCCTGCGTGGAGGTGAGAATGCTAAGACTCTTATAACAGTCGAGTCGTGGGAGCATAATCACATTTGAGCGGCGGTGTGAAATATAAAAGCACTGTGCTAATGGTTCTCGCCCACACTGCCGTCACGAGGTTATATTTGAAATGTACTTTGCATAAGCTCAGAGGTGCTTGCATCAGAACAAACCATACACATACATTTAAAGGTCTTATGTTATTATATTATATTAAAATGGACTCTTATACCTGGAGTTGTGTTGTTTTTTTTCATTCCCATGTGTTTGAGTAATCCTTTATTATTAATCTGTCTACATCTCCAAAGCTCAAAATGCAAGTTAACAGCTACGTTTTTCCTCTAGTTTAGGAGAGATTGCCCATTCTATGTCAGAAAATATTCAAATTATTCTAGTGAAGTTGTATGGATTTTAAAAACATAGTGGAGCACTTCCTGTATTACCACATGACATCAAGATTTGTCAGAGTGTTTTCTGTTTGAGAGACTGACCACAGATTAAATATGCAGGATTTTGGTTAAACATGTGTGAATGAAACAAAACACTATTCTAAATATGTTTTTGATAAAGAAACACTATAACATATATCAGAAATTTCTAATATGGACCCTTTAAAAAACAACAACAACAAACTTTATTTATAGAGTGCTTTTCATACAAAAATGCAACACAAAGCGCTTAAAACAGATCACCAAGTCATGTGACGTGTGCAGTTACAAGGAAGGCCTATAATATATGATTATGTACCAGTGTATATTTTTATTATATGTTTAATTGCGGTGAGTGTTTTTTGCTTTAGTGGTTTTATAGTTATGTAATATAATACAGGAGTTAGTGAGTATTTAGAACAGTGAATCTCAACTTGTGGATAATGATCTATATATAGACAGTGAGAAATTTGAGTCTAACCTAAATATTTTACATAAAATTAGTCTATAAAACACTATAATATATAGTAAACCTTTATTTGATTTATGTTTTTATATTGGGAAAGTAAGAAATGTACATTCTTTTACAATGGAACATATAACATTAATGAAATCATAGCAGAAACAACAACAACAAAAAAATAAAATAAATAAATAAATAAAATAATTGGCCCAAAAAGGAGTGGGAAGACGAAACCATATTTAACCAGAAAAACTACAGATCTTTCTCACTGTATTTATTTACCACAAGTAGTTATATTCAGTGGCAATAAAAAATAGAAATAAAAAATAATGAATATAACATTTTTTTTAAGTTTATAATAATAGAGCAGTAGCTGTAGCACAAACACAGACAAGAATATTTATACAAAACTGGCCATTGCACAATACAAAAAACTTACAAAAAGGAGGTTAGGGATTCAGAAAGTGTCAAGCATACAAGCTATATAAAACTAAACTACGCCTTTTGTTTTGTTTTGTTTTATTTTTGTATGTCACTAAACCGCTATTGTTTTGCTCTGCCACTACACAGTATTCTTTTCTGTTTCACCTTCATCATATTTGGCTATTTCCTGTTTTGTCCTTTCCCTTCCATCTTCCTTTTATGGAGGTGGAGCTTTCTCATGGTGCGTCTACAGCAGTGATCTCATAGTTTGCGTGCCTGCTGGGTCCCCTTTTGTGCGTCTGGCTCTTTGTGCGCCCCTCTCCACGCTGCAGTTTCTGTGGTAACATGATTTTGAAAATAGCTACTCCCCACTCCAACGGCTCACTGTTCAAGTTCTCCCGGCAGCAACCCACTCGTCTTGACTCATTCATTGCTCATTATCATCCCACCCCCCTTTTGACCCCCCCCCGTATCAGATGGGGACAGAGATTGCAGTGTGGTAGTGGTAGTGGTGGGGGCGGGGTGGCGGCTACTATAAAGCCGCTGGTGCTGGTCTGTGATTGGCTGGTGGGATGTGTTTAATCCCCGCGACTCCTCCCCCCTCACTCTGACAGCATCCACACACACATAGGGCTGAGTGTTCCAGCAGGAATATCAGCACTACACAGGGAGGAGGATTAGCTAGGAGCCAACTCATCTGCATATGTACTGTAGCATCCAGGGCGGCACTTTTTTCCTATTTCTATAAAACCTGGTGTTGTCATCTAAGAGACTTCACTCCTGCTACTTCCAAAGCGCTGAACGGATCTAAAGGGACTACTCCAGTGTTTTTGTTTATTTACTATGATGTCTCATCATTTGGGAACTTGCAACTGACTCTCCACTATCTGAAAACGCAGGCAGTTTTGCTTTCTTTCTTTCAATTGCTGGACTTTTTTTTTCCCTCCCTGCTTTTCAGTTTGTTTCCGTAGCAACAAAATGCCATCCAGGGAGTCCTATGAGGAGAAGTCTCTTGTGCAAAAAGCCAAGCGGGAGGCCAATCAGGAGGATATGTTGGCCGCAGCTCTGGGGATGAGAGTGGGGCCACAGAAACCTCCGGCTACTTTCTGGCAGCCACTGAAACTGTTTGCCTATTCACAACTCACATCACTGGTCCGACGAGCTACGCTAAAGGAGAGCACACCCAGGGCAGAGAAGGTCCATAACTTTAAGGTGAGTTTGAGCGCAGGTTTTCAGCTCGTCGTGGAGTGTTTCATCATGTACGGCCTGAGGGGGAACAGAGCGGCTTCAGAGGAGGTTCATCAAAAGGAAACGTGTTGGTGGTCTGTGTACGTCTGTGGTTTTGCTTGGGCACCAGATGGGCAGATTAAGCACATGGAGAGGGGGACAGTGGAAGAGTGTATGCCTGTTTGGCTCAGGGTACTGGTTTCACTGGGAAGAGAGGGGGACCATATCAGATAGAGCATATTGGTGGATTAGTTTCTGTCTACTTTAGTTCTCCATTAATGAAATTAGTCATTACTTTAGTTTAAATGGGCCAGCCTAAAATCTTTTAATACAGATTTGCTCTTTTGAAGCTTTAATCACAAAATACGGTACTTCAAATTCTTAAATGACATTCTATTTTCATTATACTTTGATTATTATTGTAGTTTTTTCTGCTCCTCTTGATAACACAGTATATTTTGTGTAAATTTAGGCTCTTAAGATGGCATTTCTGTATTAAACGTCTTAATTCATCAAGTTATGTTGTAATGTAACTGTGAAACAGCTTTGTTGTCATACTCTATCAACTGTCAGTCGGTAGTGTAGCTTTATTCGAATCCGCTTACTGACTTTGAACCTACACAAAAGAATCAAGTATCCTACAATATACAGCATCGCAAAACATCATGAGATTAGGGTTGCCAGCGATAACAACAAACAAAGTGCCTTCCTCCCTTGGCACAAATCAGGAAGCGTCGTGGCTGCCCCTCGGTCCCAGCACCCGCTCTGATTGGCTGGGCTGTTGTTACCTGCCACAACATGGGGTTCTCTCTCCCCTCGGCTCCAACGTGGGCGACCCTCTGGTGTTTTCCAAAGCAGATTATCCTGACACCTCACACCTTCTCTGCGGTGAAGTGTCAAAGCTGTCTGGGCTACGATGCCAAGGGCTGCTCTGCTCCCAGCTCTGGAGTGTCAGTCTGTGAAAACAACAAGTCCCCTCTATAGACGTGGTACCCTCCCTCTGTGCCACATCTCACATGGCAACACTGTGGGGCTCTGACACTGTCCAAATACTACAATGAGACATCTGCCTTATACTCTGTCACTTGTATCATCATTAAAGGTGCACTGAGCAACTTTTCTGATAGAGAGACTGCTACCTACTTTTCAGACACTTTTCAGAACACATATTAAAACATTCAAAGGAGCAATAAGAAAACAAATAACACAGGAGTGAATCATATTGAGGTGTTATTGCTTTGCCTGGAATGTTCCATGGTGTGACATTAAACATTTCCATCTAGCATTTAATCATTACAGGAGTTTCTGTTGCTCAAAAATAAAATAATTCCTCTTGTGAATGGGGTGACTCTCCACAGATCTGAACTGTAATGTAGTGTAGTGCTGTGACCTGCTTGTCTCGCTCATGATAGATAGTTTAATCTGTACTGTGGAACATTCTAGACAAAGCAATAACACTTCCAGACAAGCAAGTGGCAGACCCTTCACTAGAAATGTTACGCAGTGCACCTTTAAGGCTCTGTTGGTCCACTGGTTTGGTCTATGTGATATTTCAAGAGTGAAGACAGAATCTATTTCCATCACTGAAATTAAAGCTACTGCCCCAAAAGGTTAAAAGAAAATTGTAATCAAATAAAACTATGCCATGCTCTTTAAATCTTCAATTTAAAACATTACATTAAAAAACTGTACCTAAATAACAGTTTAAAATATTTGTTGTTTTTTTTCTTAATTTAGCAGACCCAACCATTATTATCCTAACTCATTATGTGGTGTAGTTTTACTCTTTCCTTACTGGTGTGTTAACAGCCTAACATTATAACATTACAACACTTCCTATTAGCAGATGGTGGGTTTGAAAAGGTCAGTAAGGGACCAAGGAAGGAGATATTAATTTTTTATGTCAGTGCAGAGAGCTGTCTGAATCCAACAACGTTTTGTGCAAGATGGCCTCATAGTAACAGTGAAAAATGCTATAAATAATCACAGCATTTCTGTTTAACCATATCGCTGATTGGATAGAGCATAAGAGTCTGTTTAGGTCCAAATAGACACTTAATTAAAATATGATCAATGACTGAACCACTGTTTTCTGCAGATAAACAGCAACCATTCCTACTTCAAGCTAGTATTTATATAAGTATTGCTTGTAATATGATACTAAAGATTATATAAGTGATATTAAAGTCTAATGTATGGTTCTCTTTGTTTTAGGTGCACACATTTCGAGGGCCACACTGGTGCGAACACTGCGCTAACTTCATGTGGGGACTCATGGCGCAGGGAGTCAAATGCTCAGGTACGTGCTGTTCACATCTTACATAAACACCCCCTTCTGTTAATGGCTTTTTGCACCAATACCAAGTGAGCATTTATTTATGTGGGTTACTTGGTTTTTAGTACATCTGGTGCAGGATTAACAGCATTAGATTAACCGAATCCCACCAGTAGCAGTGCAGTTACAGATTAGTCGTTGTATAACACAATGAAATAAAGGTCTGTGTGTGTGCGTGTGATGTAACGCTAAAGTACGATCATATCATAGCCACTGTCCTAGTTTTCTTTTATCAATCAGAAACAAAGTGGTTATTGTTATTACAAATATTATAAATCAATCTCAGTCAGTTTTGAGTATTAACTTTTTTTTTTTTTTTTTACAGAAAATAAAGCAAAAAATATATATATCAATAACCCTTCCACAACCAACTCCTCACTACACACAACATTTCACAAACATAAAATAAAAAAAAAAACACAGAAATTTCAAGTTATCAGACATAATGAGTCCGATCCCACCAAAGTTTTTAAAAATTCGGTGTCCACATTTGTTCAAAGTTATGTTGTTTCCCCTTTCTTATTCACTATTTTGACTCTGGGTTTTAATTTCTATAGATTTATAAAGAAATAGGCTACTGTGCAGTCAATAGGGAAATTGTAGATACTAAAAGCTTTCAATATTTGTCTTTCATACATTAAAAAATATTGATAGTCTTGATTGAACGGACAAATTCCATTAAAGGTCCACTATGGAACTTTTTGTTTGCAATCCATCACCTGCTTGTTTCATTTGATATGTCAGTGCTGCTTGGAATGTTCCACAGTATGACATTAAACAGCTCTACTTTACATTTATTCAGTTACAGGTGTTTTTAAAGCTCAAAAATACTCAGAAAAACATTCATTCTGACTGTGAGCGGGGTTGCCTCTCCATAGATCTGACATGTAACTTGATTTGGCCTACATGAAGAAATAAAGGTTTAAAACCATACTGTGGAACATTCCCAACAAAGCAATAATTACATCTGCATGAAGAAAAGCGTTTGACGGATCCTCCACCAGAAAAGTTACACAATGCACCTTTAAACCTCTGATACTGGAGAATAGGCTGTTGCTAAGGAATTTTTCTCCCTTTGCCCTATTTAAAGAATATGCTATTTTTGTACCAAACATATCTGCGTATCTTGAATTTGCAGTCACCAGCTCCACAATTTCCTTTTGTTGACAAAGAGCACTAGTGTCTGGCTGTGGTGTGAGTTACTTTCCCATCAGTGAACAGTGTTAGAATACGTGTCTGTCATGTTTAATAGATGAAACAAAGTGTGCCACACAGCCTCAGCGTTAAATATTTATGCCCTGTTTTTAAAGCTAACAACAATAGCACTACTTCCATATAGGTTCCCATGCTATTTCACAGCTCAGATTTTCATTTCGATTGTCATTCCTTCACAGTATCAGTATCTAGGACAACCCAGTTTCACATCATGTACGAATTAGCATACCAAAAAAGGTGCTCAACCCCCTTTTTCAGTTTGAGTGTGCTAAGTGTTTTTGGCTCATTGCCACAAATCCAGCTCCTGCTTGTGGTTGTTTCTCATCAGAGTATATGTGTATGTGTGTATAGACCCCCCTCTCCCCCAGTCTCATCCCATCACCGCCATGAAGGAAAACAAAGCTGGCATGTCTGTTTAATGAGGACTCCGAGCTCTGTTTCCACACATTAAAATTCACCAGCTTCAACCCCACAGCTAGGTCAGGCCGTTCAGACCCAATTTTATGTTGGGAACCAAAAAATGGTGATAATGAAGTCGCTTTAGGTTATTTTGTCAAGTCTATTGTATATGTCTTCAGGAATGGTAGCTGGTTTCTTACTGTGTTAGCAAATAAGGAATAACAGGGAGGAGTACAGAAAATGTGATCATCAATATGTGTGTGTAAACAAAAATATACATGTAAAATGGCTTAAATTTAAGAACTAGTTTATGTTAGTTTACGGTTGAGGACTAGTTTAGAGTCACTTTTTTTTCTTTTTTCAGCTAAACAAACAAAAAAATATTCTGACAATTACAAATTTTATATTGAATTTAATCAGACCTAAAATTAAACTAATACTAAACTAGTCAAAATTATTCAAATCAAGATTATTATTTTCAATTGAAGTCCTTTTAATTAGCACTGTGTTTAAATGAACATGTCTGGCATTCAAAAATAACTGTTTGGAGCTTGCAGGGTTGGGAATTGAAAGTAAAATATGTTGATACCAATACAATAAAAATATCTTGAAAATACTGAAAATGTAGCAAACAATTTGACCAAAATAAGCCAGCCCAGTGCATCATCCTCGCTATAGCAACCCAGACAGAGTTGACGGTGCGGTAAACCAGCCTCCTCACTCTCCTGGAGCCCAGGTCCCAGGGGCCACTGGCTCACCCTCACCCGCCCCATATGGGACCCCCGCCCTCAGTGTGAATGCATCCAGACACTGATAACAGATCTGCCCTATTCTCCGCCTGTCTCATGCACTTATGAGAATCATCTCTTAAAGTAATTACATTTTTGCCCCAATGCATATCAATGTGGCTTCTGTGCAGTTCTCAAGGGAGCCATATTAATCAAAATGTTTTCTGCACTGCTCCAGAAATGTAGCTTACACGAGATCTTTGAGAATGTGATTTGAGCTTTTATTTTTGGTGTAGTATGAAAACGGCGTATCATTCATCAAAAATCCAACTTAGAAAAGCATGCGAAGATGTGAGCGTTTGCAGCGCGGCCTCATTTCAGTGAGAGAAAGTAGGTCTGGAGTAGCCCGCGGTGCTTGAATTGCTGCTTCCTCAGCCTTTGTGTGCCAGAGCTGGGATTTGGAAGAGAATGGAGCATGCAGTGTTCAGTGTCCCTCCTACAGGCCAGACTGCTCCTCTGCTATTTAAACCCCTCTCTCTCTCTCCCTCTCTCTCACTGAAGTAAGCCTGCTCCTCTCGCTCCTGCCATGAAGAGAAGGTGAATCCAGCTCTTAAACAGCTGTGCTCCTGGACCCATGGGCTGTGACTAAAGACTAGATGCACTGAAAGATACTTAGACACACTAATGTACCATTTGAGCACCCACTGGGCTGCATTCAAAAGCACAAAACAGCGTTCGAAATCCCACAATTCAGATGCTGTCTTTGTTTCCTGGTTGTTTTTCCCACTCGATGAATAAATAAGCGCTTGTATCCAGAAATGGCCGGTTTTATCCAGTGCTCAAGGACGCTTCAATGTCCCCTTTTGGCAGCAAGACAAGAGCTCTCCAGTGGTTCTCTGACATTGAGGGGGCAAATATTGATCAAGGGGATTAACAGTGATCTGCGAGCCAATGAGTTTAAAGGGCCAGCCACATCGCAATTAACCCGCACGGTGCAAATGTGTGAAGAACGCTTTAACTCCGATTATTAAATGTCCACACCACAAAAAATTCAATTACTGCGGATGAATTCAATTTCGCCAGGGAGCTCTGCATATATTGAAAATGGATCGTACTGGTGTAGATATGAATGCCTTGTGAGTAATATTTTCTTAAATTACCTAATCTCTACTGAATTAAAGGTAAAAGGAGCTGTTATTTTGAAAACTACATGACATCACAAGGTGGAACAGAGCATTTTTGAGCTTTGGAGATGTAGACAGACATATAAATAATAATAAAGGATTACTCACACATGTGTGAATGAAACAAAACACAACTCCCAATATGTTTTTGAGCCCACAAGAGTCAGTTTTGTTTAACCTTTAACTAAAATGTGGTATTTCTTTCGACAGATTGCGGTTTGAATGTCCATAAACAGTGCGCTCCTCTGGTCCCCAACGACTGCAAACCCAGCCTGAGACACATCCGTAAAGTCTACAGCTGTGACCTGACCACACTGGTGAACGCTTACAACACGGCCAGGCCCATGGTGGTGGACATGTGCATCCGGGAGATCGAGTCTAGAGGTCAGTTTAAGACACCAAGAGACAGACAGAACAGAAAATAATTAACTAGAATGAGCTGTTCTAATGGTATCACTGACTGTAACAGGTATAAAAACTTGTTTGTGTGCCTGTCCATCAAATTTATTCACAACATGGACTGACTGTGCAGATGTTCAGAGCCTAAGTGATGGTATATTGTCCAGTTCTGCATGTTTTAGTTTTTTCTTTTGTCATGTCATGTCTGTACCTTATGTTAATGCTATCGACCCCTACTCCAAGTCAAATTTCTCTCCCAGGAGACGAAATAAGCGAAAACCTGAAACTGTATTGATCGTCGATATTGTATACCTGATATTACCGGGTTACAGTTTAAGGGTAAATGCTTTATCTACCACTACCCTTTTAATAGCCTTAATAAAGCATGAACATATACTTAAATAGTTGATTAAAAATAAGTCAAGCTTAGTAACTACTCCTAACTCACCAAATCATTAACTAAGCCTGAATCATTTGAATATATATTGGATTTCTTGGTATCATAGCATTTTACTTTCAATTCTCAACCCTATAAGCAATACTAACTCAAAGTATTTATTTTTGGGTTCCAGACAAAACTTATTAACATTACTTGAAAATATTCATGTTGATTTGAATAATTTTGACTAGTTTAGTATTTATTTAATTCTAGGTCTATATGTTTGGTCATATTTCAGTATATCTCTGACTAAATTCAATATTAGTTGTTAGAATATTTGTTTTTTTAGCTGAAAAAAGTGCGTCTGAAATAAACAAATTCACAAATGTAAAGTAACTACTCCCTAACTCATGAAGTCACTAACTAAGCCTGAATAATTCTTAATACACTATTTGTTCACTATGAATTAAGTCTTTATTAAGGATTATTAAGGTGTAATAAGGTGTAATAATAAAGTTGTAGTCAAAATACTTTTATCTCACAAGCCTTAAAAGTTCAATTTATACTGTTTCATACCCACTCCAGCTCAACTTTTTTCTTTATTACCAATTGCTGACATTTCCTGAAATACAACCAGCACCTTACAATTAATTATTTTGAGTTACCTTGCTAGTAAACCAACAGACAAGTACAAAACAAAACATATATAATATAACATTGTGTTTGCTGAGCTATAATGGCTAAACTGTATTTGTGGAGGTCATAAAAACACAATAAAACACACTTTACTTTTACAGCCAACAGTATACAAAGATTACATTACTTATGCTGTTAATGTTTTAGGGTGCCCAGACAACTGATGAGACTGTTGGTAATTTTCACTATAATGAGGAATCCATTAGCCTGTTTCCTACTGCCTTATCTGATTGCCTCTCAGTTAAATCATCGGGCTATATAGAAAATGGGCTCATTGTCTGCTCGCTAACACACATCTGGAGCTAACGTTGATTTATGTCTTTATTATTTTGCCCAGTGATGCAGAAAACTATTTGCATCTACGCGTGTTATCCCATTGTGTGACATTGCGGCCATTTTGGTTTTAATTCCTAATGCATATTCAAGAGTGCTTAATGGCAGTTTCTAGGTTACCCAGGGCGATGGAAGCAGGTGAATTTTTCTGTATTAGCGCTGACAGCCGTGACAGTGTTTAACTATGGTTTTTATGTGTATTTGTCTCCCAGGGCTGAAGTCTGAGGGGCTCTATAGGATATCAGGATTCAGTGATTCGGTTGAAGAAGTCAAGACGTCATTTGATAAAGGTTTGTATTTAGCTATACTAAATCTTTGTAAACAGTAGAACTGCCAAAGATTTTAATTACCTGTATGTTTTATGACAGCAGGCTACTATTGACAAGCTTGTAAAGACTGGGTAGAGAATTTTGGGTAGGAAGGTACAGAATCGCTTCCGGCTCCATCGATTCTGGCTCCAATTGACTTTATACTGAAAAATTGTTGCCCTCTCTCTTTAACTGCTGCAGTGAGCCTCGGCATTTTGGTTTTAAAATGTTTGTATAAACCAGCTCTACATACCCAATATGGAACTGGCTCCAACTTTGCTCCTGTAACTGTTGGCCTCATGAGCTTCATTTGACTGGCGCCTAAGCAATGGGGATGTCACACTCCCTTAGTCAACTTCTATATTAGCCAGTTTCACTTTGTGGAAACCGTCTGACCTCACAACATTAGGATTTGTTTGCTCGATGGTAGACGCGTATTTTTTTAAAATTTAACCAATCGCTACTATTTGGTTGTGATGTATGTAAGGCGCCACTAACGGGGCTAACTAGTATATTAAGCTTTTCCCAAATCCCGCAGGAAGAAGGGCAATAACGTCTTTCCCACTGATAAAATTCACCAAACATTCTCTTAGTTCCGATTTTAAATCCTCGATCTCGGGAATTGTTGCCAACACAGAATGTAAGGCTGATTGCTGGCGGATGCTCAAACTCGCACATACGGGGTTCTTGCAAACCATCTAATGTATTCCGTTTCCTGACCTAGTTGCTGGAGAGAAATGAAATTCTTTATATAGTGTATGGTCAAACCAGATGTTTAGAAGTTGCAAAAAGAAAAGTGTCAATACTGTACAGTACTTTGTTACAGAAGTACTTGAATTGCTGTGTCTTTGATTACATCACAGTTGAAAGCTTCTACAGATTACTGTCACCCTTTGCGTCAAGACTGACACTGCATGCTTACATTTGCTTATATAAGAGTTCCCATTAATGAAGTGACATGTAAGTGAAGGATTAGTGTCCATCTGCTGCCATGTATTCTTCCAGTTCAATCCAGTGTGGACCAAGAGTCTATAGGGGCCACAAACTGCAGCCTCTGTCTAAGCTGCAGATTGAATAAGCATCTTGGGATTCAGAGAGGGGCAGTTTGAGGAAGAGGCTGTCTTTCTTTGCTGAGAGCGGTGTGAATTTTAACTGTGAGGAGACGCCTGCAGCTCTGGGCTAAACTCTGAGCCAGATCGGCGTGTGGGAGATCATCCATGACAGAGTGTCATTCCAGCTCACAGCCCTGTGCTGTTCAGTCTGCCTGCACAAGTAGGCCACAGCCCGCTCACAAACGCATGCTTAACTCCCCAAGTCCAAGAGGAGGGAGGCCAATGATACGCAGCAAGAGTTTTGATACTGGTGGTCAGGAGATTTCTATGAAGTGTAGAGCTGATGTTAGCCTTTCCTGTGTAAAACTCTTCACTTTGAAGGTCCTATATTACACAGAATTGACTCCTGTGAGCCTTATGCCATGTTAGAATGTTGTTACCTCATCAAAAACATGCTGGGAGTTGTGTTTTGTTTCATTCACACATGTTTGAGTACCCGTTCCCTGTTAGTCAGTCTACAGTCTTCTTTCTGTGAAGTATAGAGCTGATGTTAGCCTTTCCTTTGAAAAGCTCTTCACTTTAAGTATTTCATCATCATGTCCACAGATGGTGAGAAGACAGATATCTCAGCAAAAGCCTATGAAGACATCAACATCATCACAGGAGCACTCAAGATGTACCTGAGGGAGCTCCCTGTCCCTGTCATCTCATACGACGCATACCCCCGCTTCATCGAGGCTGCAAGTAAGAGCAACACTACTGCTAATTTAGTTGTTAATAACGCATTGTATTGTATCGCATTGTATGGGTGGAAGAAGTCGTGAAATGTAAACAAGGATTTTGAACAGCAGAGGCTATAAAAGAGAACAGAAAATGACCAGAGATTAAAAAAAAAAAAACATTGATTAAAATAAGGAGTAATATATTGTTCCAAGTGAGAAAAACAGAGACATGGATTTAAAGGTGCACTATGTAACATTTTGGTTGCTTGTTTCTAGGGATATGTCATTGCTCTGCCTGGAATGTTCCACAGTATGATTTTAAACAGCTTAATCTACATTTATTCATTTACACATGGTTTTATAGCTCAAAAATACTTAGAAAAACAGGCTTTCTGACTATAAGCGGGGTCGCCTCTCCACAGATCTGACCTGTAACTTGGTCTGGTTTGGTGTCCATGAAAATAGAAAGGTTTAATACCATACTCTGAAACATTCCAAACAAAACAACATCTCCAGAGAAAAGTATTTGATGGACACTCCACCAGAAAAGTTACACAATGCACCTTTAAGTCTACCTTACCACTACACTATTACTATAACAACAACATAACTACCTTTATCATGCATATTGGAGATTTTTTTCAAATTAAATGTTCAAATTAAAATATTTCTTCCATTTATATTTTCCAATGATATGCAGTTTTTCTTTTTAATTTATATAGTTATAATTAATTCTTTGGAGCAAATGTTCTGTACACAAATTAAAAGATCCTCATAAATTAGTAAGCATGTCAGCATTGTCTTATTCTTACAAGATGCTCCTGTTTTTCATTACATCTCCCAGTATTCTCCTAATTGCATCTACCATTTGCAGCACACCAGCAAAACTGCCTAGAGCCTTTGTTGTTCTTCCACTAAAAGCTTTTTTTATTAGCAGATCTGTGAAAACCCCACCCTCTCTCAGACTAATGGCCTTTATTAGCTGAGAGGAAATCACTGCACTGCTGATTGTATCTCGCCCCTATTCTGGACTATTGAATCACCTTGTCATTCTGTTCCCTCCAGAGCTCTCAGACCCAGAAAAGAAGCTGGAGGCGTTTCGAGAGGCCCTGGCTCTGCTTCCTGAATCTCACACTGAAACGCTCAAGTACCTCATGGCGCACTTAAAAAGGTCAGACTCCTCACTAGCATTTACTACAGCTAAAAGTCAACTAGATTTTTTTCTTACTTGACATTATAATCCGCTTGCAGGGTGACACAGAATGAGAAATTCAACCTGATGAATGCAGAGAACCTCGCCATCGTCTTTGGGCCCACTCTGATGCGATCTCCAAACCAGGACGCCATGACCGCACTCAATGATATCCGCTACCAGAGACAAGTAGTGGAGGTGCTGATCAAAAATGAAGATCTGCTTTTCTGAATGCAGGACAGCTCGAGCTAACCACTATAATCTATCTGTGTACAAACTTGAATCACAGTTTGAATGACACTTTTTAACCAACCCTCCTTTTTCTGGGTTTGAACCTTGTACTTATACACTTAGTTTCCCCATTTTTGTCGGGGATGATAGCAGCATGCAGCGCGCACAGTCTTTTCTTCGGTTGCTTTGTAGCATAGACTGTATATATAAATGGACAAGTGTTCATGGAGGCACTTCCAGCTCCTTCGACTCTGTGTCCAGTTGATTTTACATTGAGAACCTGTCACCTCCCTCTCTGTAACTGCTGCAGTGAGCTTCATCATTTTGGTTTTAAAATGTTCGTATTAACCCACTCTGCATGATCCTGCTGTTTTTATTTTGTTATTTTGTCCGTAGATGAATTCCTATTCATGGAACTGGTTGCCAGCCTCAGTGAGCTTCATTTGACTGGAGCCGAATGCTATGGGTCCACTTCTTTATACAGTCTATGCTTTGTAGTCCTACTCCAGCATGTCTTCAGATGGCGTGTAGCGCTCAATTCATTTCTCTTCTGTGGTAGTTCTCGTCCGATGCTGTAAAAATCCAATAAGCTACTGATTTTTGCACTGTACTTTTACAATGCTGTATTTTTGTACCTCTTGTACTGTTTTTATGTAACTGTTTCTAGCTCTCTGCCTCTCTGTCATTGTGTTCACACAGATGCATTTGCCTGACATTTCTAATGTGTTATATGCAACTCCATACTTTTGTACATTTAATTTGGACTGTATATTTTGTAAACATGTGCATGATCACTTTAATTTATTAATTTAAACATTGTTCTGAGAAATGAATCATGATGAACATCAACATTAAATACAACCGATAAAACTGTTTACGTGTAAGCCACTGTTTTGATTCCAGTAATATTAATAATACTCATAATGCTCCAATTAGCTAGTGGGAAATCATTATAATGCACTATATTATATAGAGCATAATTATGATCCAGCTAGAGGAGAGTAGCTACTGTTATAACGTTGCTAGTTTTTTCTAGATATAATTATTTATATTGAAAAGCACAATAAATTAGAAGTTATGCAGTCCAAATGAAGCTCATAAACTGTGTTGGGAAATTTTGTTTTGAGTAACTGTATTCTGGTACAGCTACTTTTTCACTTAGTGCTATTCAGAATATGGTTACTTTCCTAAATTAAAAGGAACCACATGACGGTACTTCATCATGTCATTTTGGCTTGATAATAGCATTGGTATTAGAGAACAATGTATGTGTGTAGGGCTGGGTATCATTGAGAAGTCGCTGATACGACACATACCTCAATACATTGGTCATAATAAAATACATATCTTGATACAAGTTTTGATTCAGATTGATTTGATATGGTTTAATAAAAAATAATGGCTAAATCATGACTGTGATACTGAAAGTCTTTGTTAAATCACTTGTTGTGCAAATTTCATATAAAACACCCATTTTAATCCTCAAAACAGTGTGTCAAGCAAGCAGCAAAACTGTAGCACTGTAACAAAATCATTATATTTAAAATATACCAAAAAAATACTCTTAATGATATATCAATACAGCAGCCCATGATATCAATACACATTAAATAATACATCATAACAATATTTTTGTACACCTCTATATGTATGTGCAATTTTATATCTCTAAATGAATGTATAACAAACATAGCAACAAAAATAAGGCTGTTTGTAATTATATGTCATGTTTTGTACACTATAATATAATTGCAACTTGCTGTAAAAGTATTCAGAATACAGTACTAGGATTGGCACATATAACATATTACATTACAAAAAAACATTTTAATTCAAGTATTCAGTATTCTGTAACTAAATAGATTACAGAATACTCAAGTGTTTTTCCCATCCCCGCCCGTAAACACACAAAGGTCTGCAGTTTAAGAAAGAGCCAGAACGTAAATAAGAATATGCAACTAGGGAGAGAATTAATAGAGAGTATTTTGCATAATTGCCCGTGCAGATTCTGACCTTGACAAACTGATGAAGGCGGATAGATGGTGATGTATGTTGCCGTTGGAGACATGGCGTGATGGAGCAGAGAGCCCCGCGCACACATACTTCTGTCACACTGATTCACACACAGACTAAAAACACCTAAGGCCCCACTGTTCTGTCAGGAGAGGCTTAATTACTGCTGTAGGACCAGTCGTGTCACGTGAACGTACGCCTCTTATGCATAATTACCCACAGGTTATCATTTCTCAAGCAACAAGCAATTTCCAGGAAGCGTGAGGAGAGAGGGCATTATGTTTCCTCACTAACTCACTGTTCAAGAACTGTACAAGGAACATTTTATATTAATTCTCAGTTTTGAACATGTCAGCTCTAATGAGGATTACCATTACACATTGCAAACAATAAATACAACTGTGCCATAAAAATGTACAATATTGCTAATGTGTTTTCAGCAAGACAACTACATTCCTAATAAAAAGCCAATTAAAATAAATTCATAATAATTAAAAAAGACTCATCAAAGAGCTTCCAGTAGGAGATGTCTACTATGTATATATCTGCAACAATAATATAGCAATTTCACCCTTTACTGACCTCTGGTGGCTGGAGTAAGTTTGTCAGGCTGGCGCTACCTAGTGCCTCCGCTCAATTTCATTTCTCTCCAGCGACTAGGTCAGGAATCGGAATACACTAGATGGTTCGAAAAACCCCAGAAGTGCGAGTCTGGGCATCAGCCAAACAGCAAAGAAACATATTCTGTGCTGTCAATGATTCATGAGATCGAGTATTTAAAGCCAGGATAAAGAGAATGTTTGTTGAATTTTATCATGTGGAAAGACGTTATTGCCCTTCTTTCTACGGGATTTGGGAAAAACTTAATATACCACTTAGTCACATTTGCGGCGAATTACATATGTCACGACCAAATAGCAACGATTGGTTAAATGAAAAAAGTACCCGCCTACTGTAAAGCGAACGAATTCTATCCAATCCAATCCACTTTAATTCTATAGCACATTTCACAAACAAACAGTTTCCAAATTGCCGAACAAATACATAATAATAGCAACAATAATAAGATGATAAAATAAACTACTAAAATAATACTAGTCTTAAAATAATAAAATTCTAACACTACGAGGTCAGACAGTTTCTACGAAGTGAAACCGGCTGATGAGTAAGTATCTTGGTCCTATCTTGCAATATTTTGAGTAGTCGATATTTCCCACTCTAAAAAGTAAAATCTGTCCAAGTTACGATTACTTGAATTAAGAAAGTTTTATCATGAGTAAATTAGTAAAATTATCTACCAAAGGAACAAGACTTTTTGTAGTTAAAGCATGAAAACACATCTCGTGACACTTAAGACAAGAAAAACAACAACTCTTTGCATATTCAATCCATAATGCAATAGTTTACGCATGTGCAATTTAAATATCAACATTTTAGTTAATTGTTTTGCTAAAATAACAACAAACTAGCAAAGGTTGCATTGAAAAACAGCATCTTGTTGTGAGCTTCTTTTGTTCTGCCAGCCTGTATTTTTGCAGTACATCTCAACACAAAAGCGATGTTGAAGCCTTCCCTCCCTGACACATAATCACTGGGGTTTTGTGGCCACATCACGTCCAGTTAATGTGCGCCAAACTCAGCCTTGTCTCTGCCGATTGTCTGCTGAAATTGGATTTTCACCCAAGCGTTTAGCCTTCGCCCGCCATCATGGGCCATTTTAAATATATCATACCTTCATCTGTATTAGTGAGTGGGGGTAAAGCACAGCAATAATGCTATCAGGCTCTGTCTATCTATCCAGAGACGCACTCATATTGTCCTCCCTGTGGTACGGCGTTCTGCGGTGGAGGAGTCTTATTCACAGTAATGAGTTGAAATTTGAAATTCCGTGATCCATGAGATAACTGACCTTTCTGCGTCGACTCGGATGCTAATGTTTGCGTCAAAATAGGCCTTACTAGAATATGATATTAGCATATTCAGAAGAACCATAAAATGTGGTTTAGTGGTTTAAAATTGATCTAGTAGCTGATGTGAATACTTTTTTATTTTCTTAACGGTCATATAAATAGTTATTTAACCTTAAAATAGGTTAAAGGTAGACTAAGCAACGAACCTGCATGCACCAGTGTTTTTTTTTTTGTTTTTTTTACATTTGGCAAGCAATAGAAATACTGTATGAAAGGTGCACAGTGTACCTTTTCCTTGTGGGGGCTTGCTACCAACTTAGTATGTTTAATGCCATACTGTGGAACATTCCAGGCAAAACGACATATTTCCAAAGAGACAAACAGATGGCAACAAGGAAAAATTACATTGTGCACCTTTAATACACTATTTCTATTGTTTGCCAAATGTAAAAACAACCATGGTGTATGCATGGGATAGCTTATGTTGAATTTTTTATCACTATGGTAGTCATATAGTATCCAGGCTGGCGCCACCTAGTGCCTCCGCTCAATTTAATTTCTCTCCAGTGACTAGGTCAGGAATCGGAATACACTAGATATTTTGCAAAAAGTTGTAGACCGCGCACCGGCCAATCAGTGATGAGCTGTGAAGCCATAACTGGGTCCCTTTTGTGGTACAACAAAATAGTAAATAAAGTGGTCAAGATGAATGTAGACAAAGCTGTACATTCTGTGTTGGCAACAATTCCCAAGATCGAGGGTTTAAAGCCGGAACAAAGAGACTGTTATCACGCTTCCTCCTATGGGATTTGGGAAAAGCTTAATATACCAGTTATCCCCTGCTAGAGGTGCATTACATAGGTCACGATCAAATAGCAGCGATTGGTTAAATAAAAAAAGTACCTGCCTACTGTCAAAGCGAACGAATCCTAATGCTGCGAGGTCAGAATGATTAATTAGGCTAGTCATGTAGTGGTAGTTTTCGCATTAACAGCTCCCTTTTACCTTTTATTCAGTAGAGACTGGCAATTTCAGGTCTGAAATCATCCAGATGATTCTAGTGAAGATGTTTGGAGTTTCAAAACATGCTACCCTTCTTGTATAAAACACTTCTTGTATTACCGCGTGACATCACAAGGTCTAACAGAGTGTTTTCTGTTGAAGAGAAAAAATAAATATCCATGGTTTGTGTGTTAACTCCAGGTATGTTTGTGGTAAGAAAACAGCATTATAACATAGATCAGAAAATGAGTTAAATGCTTACGAGATGTACTGACTTCACAAATGCATTGACATTTCTCTCAGATTTGATAGTGACATTAAATACAATATATAGGCCACATAGCGTTTGTAATCCTCATAATCTGTATAGAAGCTTGGGCATCCAGTGTGTTGCCCATTTTCCATCCACCCCCTGCAGATATTCACACCCACTGCACATTTAATCGCTTATGGAGCAAATACCACCAACCCACCCTGGTATACAGTTCTCCAGAGACCTCAATCCTCACAAGTGACCCGCAAACACCCCCCACTTCAGCTCCAAAAATGACCATTCTGACGCCGGACCACTAGACAAGCGGGTTTTCAGTTGGTCCGACTGATTGGAAAGACAGTGGGCGGGTTAAGTCAAATCCTTCTTAATTCCGACATTGCCAAAATGGTCATTTGTGGCTAAGTGAGATGAATGGGGCGAGCGCTTGAGTGACTGGCTGATGGAACGCACGGGGGATGTGAGGAAATTGAGTTGCCTGACCCATCACTGGCCACATGTACAGAAGGGTGTGGGGCAAAACAGCTGGTCTCAAATGAGCCACTGTAGAGCACACAATGGACAGAACAAGTAAAATGTGAGCCTTATCCACACAGTCTTTCAGATCTAAGGAGTATTTACCAGTGAATGTTTAGTATAAAAGTGAAAATCTAAAACTAAATTTATCAAATGAATTTTACGATTGAAAGGCAATTAAGTGTAATTTTCCTTTTTTGCATTTAATGGTACTGTGTTGTGTGTATATAATACAATTTAATACAATTTTGAAATCATAGATGTGCATTCATTGTAATCCCATTTGCCATTAAAGGTCCTGTATTACACAAAATTGATTTTTATGAGCCTTAAGCCATGTTATAATGTTGTTATTTCATCAAAACATACCAGGAGTTGTGTTCTGTTTGATTCACATATATATATGTGTAACTCTGCATTATTCGTCTGGCTACATCTCCAAAGCTCAAAATGCTCATGTAGCAGTAGTTTTCAAGTTAAAAGCTACATTTTGCCTTTAGTTTAGGAGAGACAGGCAATCATCCAAATCATTCTAGTGAAGGTGTATGGAGTTTAAAAACACGGTGGAGCACTTCCTGTATTACAAGGGGCACAAGGGAGTGGTCGATGATTCTCTAATTTGTACTTAATTTGGTGGGATAATACTTGCTTGTTTCATCAGCCGGTTTCACTTCGTGGAAACCGTCTGACCTTACAGCATTAAGATTCGTTCACTCGAAGGTACGCAAGTACTTTTTATATTATTTTTTTATTATTTAACTGCTATTTGGTTGTTGGTTGCTAACTAGTATATTAAGCTTTTCCCAAATCCCGCAGGAAGAAGGACAATAACGTCTTTCCCCTTGATCAAATTCACCAAACATTCTCTTTATTCTGGCTTTAAATCCTCAGGATCCTTAGATCACAGGAATTGTTGCCAACACAGAATATATGACTTCATCTACATTCATCTCGACAGCGACCCAGTCATGGCTTCACAGCTCTTTGCTGATTGGCCGATGCACGGTCTATAACTTCCGGGGTTCTTGCAAACTGTTTTTCCTGACCTAGTATAGAGAAATGAAATGAGTGGAGGCACTAGGTGGTGCCAGCCTGGCTAGGATAATACCTGTTGTAAATATAAATTATAGTTTTGCACCAATCAATAATCAATTTGCGAAGAAAAGCTGAAAAATATGTTGAAAATTAACAGAAGTTGAGAATTCTATTTGTCAAATGTACCACATAACCACAGTAGGTAACAACTATAGAATTCATTAGCGAGGTATTATTATTTCAAACCAGGAAACCAGTACATTCTGAAACCTAAAACATTGCTAGACTGGGAAAAAATTTAAATATTATGCTCTGAAGTTTCGGTAAAATGAGTAGTTCCAAGCAAAAGAACTTTAAACAACAACTCCAAGCAAAAAAGGTTTTACAGTGTGGAAATTGAACCTGGGATCCTAATTCTGTGAGGAGACAGTACTTTCCACCTGTTGGTTTAAAATATAAAACTAGAAATGTGGTAAAACCCTGAGATTAGCTCGTGCTTGTTAAAGTTGTCTGTAGTAGTGTGGTCTGTCTTAACAAGCTGTCATAATGTGCTTGCACTGTGTTACTACACCATTTGCTCCAAGCTTTAATAAGGTAACCCAACACGCGGTGATTAAATGGGCACGGGAGGGGCACTTTCCTGGGGTCAAGGTCAAGTTTATTTCCAGACACCACTCCTTCACTTCAACTATGGCCCCCCACCTCTTATTTAGCCTCTATCACACCATTATTTAATCGGTAAACGCTAATAGTTGAATGAGAGGCAGAAGAAAAAACTGAGAGTTGTAAGCATGTGTTGCGTCTTTGCACCTCCATGTTGTATACAGCCAATTTCGCGATGGGATATTTCAGTAGTGGATTAGCCTGGTATGTTGATCTTCTAACACATGACAAACTATGCGTCCCTCTCAGATGACAAGCTTTGGCACAGGGTCATACACAGACAATACCGCTGTGTGGCTGCCAGTGGACAACGCCGGGGTGGACAGTCTGTCATTTTGTTAGTGTTGAAAGAATGTTTTAGGTGGGTCAGATCTTTTTAATTGTGAAGTGGTCAGCGGGAAAGGTGGTGAAGTTGGACCTTGGACTTGGATGCTTGGCTTGATTGGCAATGACGGCAATATTTGTCACTGTTCATCTGTTGGTATTGGCAGGTAAGAAATGAAATGAAAAATCTGAACTGCATCCTGAAGTAAGTTTTCTTTAAGGTGCACTATGTAACTTTTTGGTTGGGGGTCCTTCATCTGCTTGTTTCTATGAATATGTCATTGCGCTGCATGGAATGTTCCACAGTATGACATTAAACAGCACTACCATCCTTTTATTCAATCACATTTATTGGTTTTATAGCTCAAAAATACCTAGAGGTGCCAAAGATTGTACCTGTAACTTGGTCTGGTTTATTTTCCATGAAGATTGGAAGGTTTAATACCATACTGTAAAACATTCCAGACAAAGCAATAACATTTCCACGGAGAAAAGCATTTGACGGGTCCTCCAGCAGAAAAGTTACACAATGCACATTTAACTTTTTAACTACATCTGTGTAGTCCCTCAGTATCCAGGTAGGATCTATAGCAAAAGAAAAATTCACTTCTGTCAAATGGACAAAAGTTTTTTTCAGTGAAGACGTTTCACGGCTCACCCAAGCAGCTTCTCCACTTCTAGACAAATTGCCGGTGGACACTGCCTTATATCTGCCTGTCCGTTTGACAGAACAGAATTTTTCTTTTGCTTTTAACTATAAACTATAAACTTTCTAACTAATCTAATGTAATCTAATCATAACATTTCTAACCTATAGTCAATTAGTATCATAACCAGCTCTTTGATTGGCAACAGCACATGGACTCTTCCATTGTCCTCTCACAGACTATAGAACGTACAGAACATATAGGTTTAGGGATGTTCTTATGGTTTGATTTTACAAACAATTACAAAAAATACAAACTAAATATACAGAGGGTTGTATGATCAATAGTATGTTAATAGATTTGTGTTAATGACTGCATTTCTGTTTGTCAGATGTGTTGCAGCAAGCTTAGAAGAATTTAATTTCATTAGTTTATTTAAATATTTATTGTTTGAAACATAACAGGGAGAACAAAACGAAGAGACCATGTGTAATAATAACAACCCTTGCTTGCTCCCAAATAAAATTCACACAAGTTGTAAATGTGTAGAGAAGATCCATGATATAATAAAATAATAAAACTGATATACTACAGCTTTCCGCCGCCTCCTAAAACATTTCCATAAAGGTTTCAGTCTGTTTTTTCTGTTTATTTAAAAAACTCAAACTTCAATATTTACTTACTGTAAATGTGTTAAGTCAATTTTCTCTACCTAAATGAAGGTTGATTCAAAGCAATGTATGTATCCTACTTACAATGTTTGCTTTCAATTAAGATATTTAGTAAAAAAATTATATTTAGCCAAAAAAAATACACCATATTTACGTGAAATAACTACTGATGTCTATTTTGAGTATTTGTGTTCTACATATATTCCTGTTTTAATGTATTTCTGGTCTAATGGATGCTAAAATGTAATGTTAAAAATTTCTTAGAGGGACATTTATGCGCTTTTGGTGTTACGATCATTATCTTATTTCTGTTTTCACCTCTCCTATCCAACAACAAACTTAACGTGGGTGCTAGAATTTTCCATTAGAAAGCTGTTTTAGATCTGTATTGCAGCTTACAATGAACAAAGTCTAAACAATGATCTACTTCTGTAATAGTCCAATCAATACTAGCCTGAAAAAGCATGTCTTCTTTAATGGTATTCTATGTCTCTATATCTTTTGCAGGTGTAGTGTGGTCGTCTCGTGATGAAACTCGCCTGGTGAAGAATTTATTCACTGGGTACAACAAGGTTGTGCGTCCAGTGGCTCACTTCACAGACCCTGTGGTAGTGACCGTGGGGCTACAGCTCATCCAGCTCATCAGTGTGGTCGGACTCTATAAAAATATATAATAATAATCTGAATCAAACAGTCACTACATATCTAAACACATTCATTCTTACAGGACGAGGTCAACCAGATAGTCAGCAGCAATGTGCGCCTCAAACAGGTATTCACACAAATCACACAAATATGAATGCATTTATCACTTTTTGATACTATTGTTTGCTTATAAGAAGGCACATTATGAAAAATATTATATGACATGTTCTAATGGTTTTCTCTCTTCAGCCTACTCAAACTATTGTATTTTGATGTCATACATGTTTTGCTTTTGAGACTTGAGTGCAAAGAAAATTTCTGCTTTCTCCTTCCCCCGTATCCTCGCCCATTGCCCTATTATTAAATTAAATAAATGCTGCTTGCTACAGTAAAATGCCACTATTATAATCAGTTTTACAGGTTTAAACATGAAGTCACTAATATTGTTTTTTACAATGAATAAACTGTTTAAACAGAGCTCTACATATGTTATAGATTATTTCCAAGTACCAGAAAAAAGCGTTTTATGTCAGTGCTAGCACATCTGTCTCATAATATGTGAAAAGTGACCAGCACGTCTGTCCCACAGCTTTAGGCGATCCCTGTCTTTTCACTGCACAACATTTTTCAACCATACTCCCAGTTTCATTCTTCTTGACCTACTTTAGAAAGATGAATCTTTTTTTTTGGTGCAAATAATTAATAATATATTTACTATAAATCATTTTAAATGTTTTTACAATTTAAATTACAATTAATAAAGAAAATGGAACAACCATATTAACATGCATTTTATTATATATTTAGTGGTCTCTGCAGCAATTTCAATTCAGACCAGTATTTGCCATCAGTGAACTCTGATTATTACCTGTATTATGAGTAGGAATTGAAAATAAACACAACATTATGCATAGTATGATCTATAAACTAGGGATGTAACAATAACCAAAATATCGTAATATTATATCACCAAAAGTCTCACAATAATATCGTGGGCTGTCACAGTATATCGAATCACAAGTTTCTTTGCTTAAATGCATGGTTTAATAGTAGCAACAGCTTATAAACATTGGGAACTACATATCCCATGATTGATTTCAGTGCAGCCAACATGAAGAAATATATTTTTTACTTGAATTCCTGGGATTATGACGGAAATAATTCACACCAAAATCTTGTCAAGGTATTTTAAAAGCAAAAAAGTGTCCCATCTACAATTACATTAGCCTCTTCAAAATATTGCAATAAATATTTTACCATAAGATGAATATTGTGATAATATCGTACCGTGAAAAGTATTTATTTTTGAGGATAGCACATGATACAATTTTTTCCCCAAGCCCCAAACCCTTATTAAAGCCTCTGTTTTATCCTTTGTGTTATCCCTCCTTGTGTTAAAGTAAAGGCAGCATTAATGTTATTGTTCAGAACTTCCCATTGTTACACATGCCTGTCTCTTTCTATATCCAGCAATGGAAAGATGTGAACCTGAAGTGGAACCCGGAGGATTATGGGGGAATCAAAAAGATCAGAGTTCCCTCCACTGACATTTGGAGGCCAGACTTGGTTCTCTACAACAAGTAAGCCCCTCCCACAACTATAGTTAACCCACTTCAGCTGCAGGCCGTGTATTTAAGTACTGCATTTTCCAGCAACGAATTGAGCACCTGATGTTTGCATCACACTTTCCTATACGCCGCAGTGTGTGGAGTGAAAGCTCACATTTCAGGCTAAATCTGGCCTGGTGTTACCCCTCAAGAGCACCCAGCAACCCCCCCCTACACACACACACGCACACACTGGGCTTACATGTCTTATGGGGGCACTGCATTGACTTGCATTTCCTGGATACTGGTTTTTACTTTAACATTAGTTACTGTTGAAGCTATTTTAACTTAACTTTGTACCATGTTGTTGATCTAATAATTAAGTATAAGAATAACCAAAATATAGTAATATCGTATCGTCAAAAGTCTCACAATAATATCATGGACCATCACAACATATCGACTCACAAGTTTCTTTGCTTAAATTCATTGTTATGGGGCAGCAATAGCCAAAAAAAACAGAGGGAACTACATCAACCATGATACTTTGCTCCGTTTTGGAGTAAACTACATGAAGAAATAGCAGTTCTAAGCACTTTTAAATCTTAGTTCTTCAAATAAAAAAAAATTAAAGAAAGTAGCATATATACAATTTTGTTAGTGTCCACAGAATATCGCAGTAAATACAGTACCTTGAGATGTATATTGTGAAAATATCGTACTGTGAAATTTGGATATCGTTACATCCCTAGTATATATGTCATGGGGATCTGATTTTTATCCCTATAAGACAAGGCCGGTCCTCATAATGTTAGTGTGTATACCATAGACTGTAAATATAAATGGACATAGCTAGGGAACACTTGTGGCTACATCAGCTCTGGCTCCAATTGTCTTTACTTTGAAAAATTATCACCCCTTTCTCTGTAACTGCTGCTGTGAGCCTCATCATTTTGGTCTTAAAACTGTTGTATTAATCGTCGTATTTACATGATCCTAGTGTTTTCATTTCTTTATTTCATCCATAAATAAATTCCTATTCCTAATATGGAAATCAGCTCTAAATTCTCCCCTATAACCACTAGCATCGTGAGTTTCATTTGACTGGACTGGTGGCGTCACACTCTCTTAGTTCACGTCTTTATTTCAGTCTATAGTGTACGCACATTTTGTCCTCACAGTGTGATAATGAACTGTCCACACAGAACATATGCCCACACTGACACACTGCTGCGTTCTCCCTGACAACCGGTGTCGCATAGACTCACACCAGGCCACGCTCTGGTTGGCTGCTTGTGTGAAACCAGTGGAAGCATCCTCAGGCTCCAGTGTCTCTCCGCGTTTACATTCCTCTCATTACCTCCCCCCACTCACCCTCTGATGTAAACACACAGCAATATTAGGCTCTTTTCTGATCTATGTTATAATGTTGTTTCCTCATCAAAAACATACCTGGAGTTGTGTTTTGTTTCAGTGTTACATTTTAACACACAAACAGTGCTTACTTAGAAGTTCCTCTCTGTTCCACTTTGTGATATCGTGTGATAATACAGAAAGTGCCCCACTGTGTTTTTAAACTCCATACACCTTCACTAGAATAATGTTTCCTGCCCTAGAATTTCCAATCACCACTGAATTAAAGGTAAAAGGTAAATGTTAGCATAAAAACTACCACTTCATGACTTCATATGGAGTTATCAAACTATGGCTGTTTATATGATGATGGTCTGAACAGAAGACGCAAAATGGTGCAGCGTCTTAATTTTTTATTCCGCGTTTAGACAACGTTTTCAGGAGGAAATCTGCGTGCATACAGTGACACAAAAGTGTGAAATTTGATTGGGTATGCATGCCAGGCGGCTCGGTGGTGATGTATGTGACATAAACACATACACGATGTCAGCAGATCTTACCAGAGTTTTGCGTCTTGGGCAGTGTAGATGGAAATGCTACAGGGAAGCATATTCAACTTTTCCACTCTGGAGGGTTGTTTCAGATTTTTTCATTTTTAGCTCCAAAAACGCCGTCACCATCTAAACGAAAGGCATGTCTGATAAAATGTTTTGTTATTTTTACCCATAAGCATTCTCCTGTAAACAGGCTCTAATACACTGGGGACTCACACATGTGTGAGTGAAACAAAACACAACTCCATGTATGTTTTTGTGGAGAAGACAGCATGACAACATAGGATAAAGCTCACAAGAATCTATTTTGTATAATATAGGACCTTAAAGGAGTGAAATTCATGATACTTGTGAGGGATAATATTACCTGGTAGTAGTTTCCAGGATTAGCACATTGCAGAGTTCAAGTTCATAGATGCAGAGTTCATAGGGTTCAGTTTAGTCGAGCCACTTAAGGCAATAGTAGTGGTGAAGAGTAAGATGGAGACCCTAAGGAGGTTACCCCTAAGTGGTTCAGCTGCTGTGGTAGAGAAGAGGAAGCCAGTCACGTATATTTGAATCTACAGGATAGCACAGGCAAGAGTTTTTATATTAATAACTTGACATGTGATTAGTTTAAAGTAAAGGAGATGCAGGAGATCTTTATTTTTTCTATTTTGTAACTTAAAAACCAACTAAAAAAATATCTTGTTGTTTGAATGCACACCTCTGCTTTGTTTGCATGTCTGTAGCGCGGACGGAGACTTTGCCATAGTCCACGAGACCAAAGTGCTGCTGGAGCATACAGGGATGATCACGTGGAACCCTCCCGCCATCTTTAAGAGCTACTGTGAGATCATCGTCCTTCACTTCCCCTTCGACCTGCAGAACTGCAGCATGAAGCTGGGTACCTGGACCTATGACGGCAAGCTGGTCGTCATAAACCCTGTAATCACTCAATTCAATTCTGTCATCTCAGTATAAACACACACAACTGATGTCACATTGGGGGTCTTCTACAATGTTCAGGAGTTATCATGATGACACAATGTACACATAAGCAGACACAGAGCACATTTTTAAGACTGAGAACTGAGAAAAACACAAAATGGATTTAAACAACATGTTTTCAGAAGCCTGTGATCAATATGAGTGTTCATGGTCCTGTCCTTGTTGCTGAATGAATGGTTGGTTGTGAGGGGTTGGGCATTGATAAAAAGAAAACTAGTTTGCTGAGGTTCCTGTAGCACCAATGTCAGAAGCAAATCAACAATGCAAGTGACAAAAAGAGCTACTAATGCATTATAGTTACATTGATTGTATCTCAGATGTTTTCTTTTGGTTCTTTTTGCACTTTTGTCTGTGATTCTACCAGAATTATTATCAATTATTTACTTTACTATCTGAGTCCCTAATTAGACTCAAAAGTGTATTCTCACATAACACCACTAGATGCGATCTATCTTACTCCTGTCTGATAATGTGTCAGCTTTGGCCTGACAGAAGAAGAGAGAGCACAGGTGAGACTGAACAAAGGCCAGGTGACAGGAGGGGGAAACTTAACAGATAATATCTTTTTCTTAAACATGTGTCAATGAAACAAGACACAACTCAAGACACAAATTTGTTTTTGATGAGGAAAGAACTTTACAGCATAGATCAGAATATAGCATAATGTGGGCCCTTTAAAGATAAAAAAAAGCTTCTCAAAATATGTTGCTTTAACCAACACAAACAGTGTCAAATAATGAATCAGTCATCATCAACAAACTTATGACCAACATTCATAGGAAACAACCTAAAGGAATAACTTTGAATTTAATCTGTACAGAAATATTATGATGTACAGTCAAATCCTGCTAAACCTCTTCTCATAGGACAGTGACCGGCCGGACCTGAGCCACTTCATGGAGAGTGGGGAGTGGGTGATGAAGGACTTCCGCAGTTGGAAGCACCAGGTGTTCTACTCGTGCTGCCCGGACACTCCTTACCTGGACATCACGTACCACTTCCTGATGCTGCGTCTGCCTCTCTACTTCATCGTCAACGTCATCATCCCCTGTATGCTCTTCTCCTTCCTCACGGGCCTGGTCTTCTACCTGCCCACTGACTCAGGTATGGAAAAGCAACCAGATTCACAAAGTAGCTCTAACAAAAATATGGAAAAAAAGGCAAGGTCAGTTACAAAATACTATACAGCACAATACAATAGTAACAGTAATATAGACTTAGACAAACATTATTGATTTACAAGAGAAATTATTTGGAAATCAGAGGTGTACAGAGTGAACAGAAATGGAGATAGGACAGTACCCTGAGGAGCTCCTACATTACTGACTGCGGTATCAGACAGGGTGCTCCCCAGTTGCACGTACTGAGGTCTGCCTAACAAGTAGTCTGTAATCCAGGAGATAATTCAGGAGCTGACACCCATCCTGAGCAGCTTCTCACTCACCAGTGAGGGATGGATTGTATTAAAGGCTCTGGAGATCAAAAAACAATATCCTCACAGAGCCCTTAACACTATACAGATATTTTGTTCTTATGAGGGAATTACTGAAATGCCTATCATGTTTCCTTTTCTTCATTTTACGGTGACTTGTGGTGCTAAATTGCAATTTGAAAAGAAGCAGTAAGCAAATCACAAAAGCTGCAATTTTGACCCTAAACATTAACCCTGTAGTTTAGATCTGTACAAACATGTTTTGGAATATGATTCTTGTATTACTTCATCATTTCATAGTTCATTCTTTTGTCAGATCTTCTGGGCATGCGTGCTTAAAATGTGAACTTTAAACAAAATCCTATTATCAAACATAAGTAATTTTCATGTTTCATGTATTTTTATTTGGTTGGTGACTATCTCATTACAGTCTACATACATTAGATTCAGTCTGATGCCCATGAAATAAAACAGTATGTATAACTTTACAATCAAATCAAACACTAAAGTCAATGAGCAGCTATATGCAGAAACTAAAGCTTATTGCATCTGCCCTTATCTCCATTGATAGCACATTAATGGACATTTATCTGCTAAATTATTACAACATGTTTATTGTCTTCATATACAAATAAACATAGAAAAGCAGCTGCAACTCCTAAACTAACAGTCTCTATTTTCAGTCTGCATTGAACATTTACTGAATTTGTTCCAATTTAACATTTTTCAAAAAGTTTTTTGGTGTTTCTGTCTTGTGAATTAACAGAGCAAAAAATGTTTTACCATATTTTGTTCATAATAGGCTCGCCTCATGCTTTTGTCTTTCGCCCCGTCTTCTCTCTCCCGGGTTTGAGTGGATTTCAGAATGTCAAAACAAAATGAAATTCCCACTGAGTAAATCTCATTTCAGCAGAAGCTTAGACCAAGACAGTCCAATAATAAATTCCCAGTGAATCGTAAAATGTCAGCCATGTTTAATCTGTAGGAGAGTCCCAATTCTGTCCAGATTCTCTTCAGTCTCTATATAAATGAATACTAATGCACAAAGAGGAAGATTAGCGGAAAACACTTGAATGCTACAATGTTATGATCATTTAAAGGACCAATATTACACAAAATTGACTCTTGTGAGCTTTTATTCATGTAATAACGTGGTCGCCTCATCAAAAACGTATCTGGAGTTAAGTTTTGTTTCATTCACACGTTTGAGTAACCCTTTACTGTAAGTCTGTCCACCTTGTGATGACATATACTTGTAGTTTTCAAGTTAACGGCTACTTTTACTTTTAGTTTTACCTTTAGTTCAAATGAGAGTGGCAATTCCAGGGCTGAAATTATCCAAACGCTTCTAGTGAAGGTGTATGGAGTTTAAAAATGCAATGGAGCACTTCCTGTTTTACTACATGACATTGCAAGTTGGAACAGAGTGTTTTCTGCTTGAGAGAAGAACTCAACCTAAATATGCAGGACTGAAGAGTTAAACTTGTGTGAATGAAACAAAACAACTCCATGTATGTTTTTGATGAACAAATAACATTATAACATACATCAGAAAATTATATGGGCCCTTTAAACAGACAGCATGCTCCAAACTTGGCCTTTAAATATGGGGAGTCTAGCCTCAACCTCCACATCTGGCATGGCTATGGGAGCAGACCGGGCTCATTACCCAGAGTCCCTCAGTGCTGTCATGTCTGAACCAGGCCTTTGCTTTAATGTATTATACATCACTTGATCTGCGCCTCTGATATGACTGCTGACAGAACAGTGTGGAGAGAGGCTGATGCCAGGAGATGCTCTCAGTGGGAAACGGCAGCATCACAAACTACACGCCCTGAATACGGCTGCTGTGAATCACTGTCAGTTTGTTTACTCTTTCTTTGGTTTGATTTGAGAATAAAACGTCTGTTCAATGTTTTAAAGTGCAGTAAGTGTCTGGAGGCCTCGCTCGCATGGGCCTCACATGAAGCCTGGGTTTCAATTGATTGGTTCAGTATAGTAAGGCCACAAAGTTGTAATGTCATATAGACTATAAACGAATGACTAAGGGACTGTGAGCACCACTAATTGTATTTGGCTCCAGTCAAATGATGCTTGTGATGCTTGAGGTTATAAGGGCGAATTCAGAGCTGTTTTCCATATTATTTAGGAACAAAATACTGAAATAAAAACACCAGGATCATGTAGTGCGGGTTAATATAAACTTTTTTAGTCCAAAATGACGAGGCTCACTGCAGCAGTTACAGAGGGAGGGTGACAGCTGGAGCTGGAAGTGTCCCCATGTCCACTTCCTATTTGGAAAGCGGCTGCTAGTGGGTTAGTTATTTCCATTTATATAGCCTATACAGCCTAATCGTATTATCGGTATCATCATGAATATCTCTTATCTCCAGAACTATGCTGCATTTTTTGGATTTGAGACAGTTCAGCTCAGTCATCTTCATTTACTGTGGTGGTAATTTCTCAAAAGTGAAGAGTGTTGTTAAGAATACTCTACTGAAAAGACTCATATAGCATGTTTTGGTATTTTTTATGTATTTTAACAATCAGGCTAAAGGCTAAAGTTCTTTAAATCATACTGAATTTATAGTCTGTAAGTCAATTTTCCATGCAGTAGGCTATTTCTGTCTCTAGGGGGCCCCAGATCTCTTTGAAAAGCTGAATAAATCATACCACGAGGAGCACAGACGTAAGGCACTGTGATTGTGGTTCAGACCATAATAGCTGACACCTCAATTTACTCGTATTGATTTACTCTGGGCGATTTATATTCATCAAATACACCCAAACTGTGCCTCTTGAAATGGGATGCCTGTGTCCAAGGTTTAGCTGAACCATTTTGAGCCACGTTCCCCCTATAGAAAATGGCATAACATGATTGCACCATACGTATTTATATCTTTTTCAGTGTTGTGTTGTGCATGTAACTGTATGATGCAGGTGAGAAGATGACCCTGTCCATCTCTGTGCTCCTGTCCCTCACCGTTTTCCTTCTGGTCATCGTGGAGCTCATCCCCTCTACTTCCAGCGCGGTGCCCCTCATCGGAAAATACATGCTTTTCACCATGGTTTTCGTCATCGCTTCTATCATTATCACCGTCATTGTGATCAACACTCACCACCGCTCCCCCAGTACACACACCATGCCTGAGTGGGTCCGCAAGGTACGCATATCCCATTTATTACATGGAGACTACCGCCCTCCAGTGGTAAAACTGTGGTATTGCTTCTCCTTGTGTTTTATTCTCACCCCAAGTGCCCTGTTTTACTGCTCTAATGTTTGTACCCTTTGTTTTACGACAGGTTTTTATTGAGACTATCCCCAACATTATGTTCTTCTCCACAATGAAGCGTCCAGGAAAGGAGAAGCAGATTAGAAACATCTATGGAGCGGACTTTGACATCTCAGACATCTCAGGTAACCAGGCGACCTCAGTGCCCTACCAGTCCCCCATCACCAAGAACCCAGATGTGCGCAGCGCCATAGAGGGAGTCAAATACATCGCAGAGACCATGAAATCGGATGAGGAGTCTAACAATGTGAGCAATTTTATTTTGTCTTCTATGTAAAAGTTCATGATAGTCTATATGTACAAAAAAACAAACACACACAAAGTCCCAAAGATACTAGTAAAAAAGAGTTTATACTTAATAGTAGGTTATACATTATAGACCCATACTTAAAGGTGTATTGCTTCACTTTTCTGGTAGATGACCTGCCAGCTGTTTGTCTCCATGGAGATGCTATTGCTTTGCCTGAAATATTCCACAGTGTGACATTAAACTTATTTAACTCTACGGAGACGGACTGGTGGCACAATCAAGCAAGTTACTAGTCAGATCTGTGAAGAGGTAGTTTTTTGTTGTTGTTGTTGTTGTTTTTGGTGGGTTTTTTTTGGTTTTTTTTGGCAATACAAACACCTGTAAGTGAATAAATCTGGATAGATGTTTAATCCCATACTGTGGAACATCCAAGGCAAAACAATAATTTCTATGGAGACAAGCAAACACCAGACCTTTCATTCACCTCTAAAAGCCACACACTCAACTTGACATGCTGAAATACACACGTTACATAGATTTTTATTTTATATATTTTTTTAAATAAACAAACAAACTAACTTTCAGTATGAACATAAAAGCACCAGTCCAATAAAAATCAGACATATGTTATGGGTTTTTTGTTTTTTTGTTTTGTTTTGTTTGTTTTTTTTTATCAAAATGATGCGGAATCATATTATTAACATTAACACCATTCATAATCAAAACATAGACTATAACACATGTGCCCAGGACTACAACAGGACTAAACCAGGACTGATCCCTGGACTGAACCAGGACCAAACCAGGACTGATCCCAGGACTGAACCAGGACTAAAACAGGACTAAACCAGGACTGAACCAGGACTGAACCAGGACTGAACTAGGACTGAACCAGGACTAAAACAGGACTGATCTCTGGACTGATCCCTGGACTGAACCAGGACTGAACCAGGGCTAAACCAGAATTAAATAGGATTAAACCAGGACTAAACCAGGACTAATTTTGGACGTGAGAGAGAGAAGGGAGAACCCCAGGCCAGCGGTCACCCGACGTCTATGCGGGCACACCTCCGGGTCCATCCAGACCCTCAGTGCTGCTTTAGTCCTGTTTTAGTCCTGTTTTAGTCCTGGTTTAGTCCTGGTTCAGTCCTGGTCCCCTCATGTTGAAGGACATGACTGCAGATATCATTAGCCTATGCAGGTTGTTTTCACCAATATCACCAATATCTCTGGTTTAAAATTTAAGTTGTGGCTATTTTATATTTGTTATTTTTTATATCTCACGTTGGCAGAAGTGGGTGGATGGCGTACCCCTCGTACCACACCCACTACACCTCTGCTTATATCAGAAAGGTTACACAGTGCACCTTTAGCAATTACAATACAGTGGTGTCTTTATTACACTACTGATACTTAAGTAGGCCTACAAATTTTACATATAACTGTCACCACTATTTATTTCAGGTCAAGCGTTTATCTGAATTTGAATTTGTCTATGATGTATTTTTAGTCCTTATTTACGTCTCATTAACCAGAGGCCTATTTGTTATTTCCCTGCAGGCAGCGGAGGAGTGGAAGTTTGTTGCCATGGTGCTGGACCACATTCTGCTTTGTGTCTTCATGGCCGTGTGTCTCATTGGGACTTTGGGCGTGTTCGCAGGTCGTCTCATAGAGCTAAGCCTGCTCTGAAGTCCTGACTCAGTCCAGGCCCAGTCCAAACCAGCCTATTATTGTTAAATATGTTTGCATTCTTGAGTTTTTGACTGCTGTTCTAGTTTGGTGACTTTGTATTTATACTGTTTGATTTTTAATATCTGAGAATAAGCTACATTATCTTGAACTTTGTTATGTTTGTCTTGACACATTTATGGGAACAACTATTAAAAGTATTATTATCATCGTTATCATTTTTTACCATTCCAACTTGTTAATGCACATAACTTTTTGGTTGGTGTTCCACAATATGACATTAAGCAAATCTACTTTACATTTATTCAATTACAGGTGGTTGCCTCTCCACAGATCTGACCTGTAACTTTGTAAACATTTCTATCATCATGGAGAAAAGCATTTGACAGACCCTCCACCAGAAATGTTACACAATGCACCTTTAAGTGTGGTTTTATGACTAGTATGAACTGGTCACTGAAAAATCCTCAATTTGACTGTCAAATATATTTGCATACTTTGTTGCTTTTTTCCCAAGCACACCCTTAGCTTCAGCTTTAGTTTGGAAAATATAATGTATACATAATTTAATGGGCTAAGTGAAATAAGCTGGATGGTTGACTGAATGCCATTTTACCATACTAATTTAGCAGACTATTTATCAGTAGGGGTGTGCAAAAATATTGAAATATCGATATATCGTATTGTTTAATGTGATGATACAGTATCGATATCATGGGCTGCTGTATCGATATATCACCAAGATTATTTTTGGTATATTTTACTAAATAATTTTGTTACAGCTACAGTTTTGTTGCTTTTTTAGAGGAAGGAAACTTGTTTATGCGACACATTTGACCTTTTCACTGTTTTGAGGATTAAAATGTTTGCGTTTCATATGAACTTTGCACAAGGAGTGGTTTAACAAAGACTTTGTATCACAGACATGATTTAGTCATTGTTTTTTTTTTTTTTTATTGAATCGCATTGAGTCGATTTAAAATATATATCTTATCAAATTGAAAGCTCACTGTATCGAGGTATGTATCGTATCGGCAACTTCTGAATGATACCCAACCCTATTTATGAGCCTACAACCAACCTTGAACACGATTTGAAAAAGTGCTTCCTTAATAGTCTATGTTAACATTAAATATTAACAAGTGACTAAATAAATAGTCCATTGTTAGAACTTATTTCCCTTTGACTGCACAGGAAATTAATTATCCCTGACCCTGACAGTTAACAGTAGGTAGTTGATAGTTGAAGCTGACCCCGCCCCCTCCCAGCTGCAGCGTCTGTGATTGGTCAGTCGCTGTCGCTCTTTGAAGTTGACCCCGCCCCCTCCTCTCTGTGGCGCCTGTGATTGGTCAGTCGCTGTTGACAAATGAGGCTGTGTGTAAGACGCGTTGGGACAGAGGGACTGCAGCAGGTTACCATGTTGTAGACTGCGCGTTTCCTTAAGAGTTTTTATGGGCTAATATAACATTTATTAGAATCAGTGACTTTATTTTATAGCCGCTTAAAATATTTGTTGTAGTAATTACGCTTTGAGTTACTTTCAAGTAGCGTGTGTCTACAACTTGTTCACTATTTCTACTATGGCCACTCCTCTATACTTCTTTGAGACATAGCATGAGGAGGACACAGCGTGCGGAGGTGGGCTATGTAAGTTGTTTAACTGTTAAACAAGCTCTACTTGTACTGTTAATTTCAACCATTGGCCTTTATTATTGTATTTATTTGCATTATTATAAGAGACTCGTTACA